CATATTTCAACTGGCCAGTAAGACAACACCCACATGTAACTTCAGCTGTATGTCCAGAAATTGGCATCATCAACACGTACCTCTAAATACGGATCAATGAGGTAGGAAGAATCCAGGATTGAACTTAGAAAAAGGGAAGCCAAGATTACTGGAAGGAAATCAGATTTTGTAAAAAGTAAATATTTCATTTAAATTTATTTGAAGTTAATGCTAATGTGAACGAAAAGAAACAAAAACTGAAGAATTATGGGCCTTTTGTTGCAAAATGATGTTATAAACATAGAATACAAGTTTAGAATAGTGGCATCAGCAGTCATCCAAAACATGGAAAATAATGGTGGTATTACATAGAACAGGTGTTATAAACATAGAATACAAGTTTAGAATATTGGCATCAGCAGTCATCCAAAACATGGAAAATAATGGTGGTATTACATAGAATAGGTGTTATAAACATAGAATACAAGTTTAGAATATTGGCGTCAGCAGTCATTCAAAACATGGAAAATAATGGTGGTATTACTTTTCACAGAGGAAGATGTAAAAGCTGTAGGATGTAAAATATTTGAAGACTTCAAGCTCGCAATAATTTGGACTGTACTGTAGGGTTTAGAACATTAAGTAACATAATATACCTATTTAAAATGTCTAACAATTAATTTTCTTTATAAGTTCAAGTCATATCACAGGAACTCAAGTTTTAACAAAGAAGTAATTCCAGAGGTCTTTAAGATGAAGGTTGTAGATACAGAGACGTCAATAGTAATAGTAAAGTACCTGCCTTAATAACAGAAAAACGTTTGTAAACTTCAACAGCAACTAGTAAAAAATCTATCATAATTATAACAATAATATATCATCAGCAACTATAGAGCATATGTCTTGTTATTTTACATGTAGAGAACTATATTTAATGACGTAAATTTCATCAGAGAGCAATTATGCTGGAGCACATAAGCATAAAATGTCATGTTATTAACAGTTCATCTGTTGTTTACAAAAGTTTTACCTCTGTTATAATGGGTTCACTTTTTATGACGTGTGAAATTATTTGTTTGTTGAAGATTCCTGAAGTGACCGAAGAAAGTGTGAAGGCTTGTATGGATCTCTTCTAAGCCAAGGCTGCGAGATAGGCGGTAGATATATGTATGAAGGACAGTTTTTGAAGTATGCATGCTACTGCTATGATAACAAGGAACTGTATATAACTGGTTATGCTCGTGCAGACATGACAAATTATGCAATTACACCGTTGAAATTCACCTTGACAGTCATTGAATCATTCAAGGAAGCCAGTGTGAGTGTGCTGTTGGCGTGGGGCCAGAGGCTCATTGCAAACATCTGGGAGTATTACTGTTTGCTCTCAACAAGATAGAATATGGAATATAAAGTAGAGAAACTTGCATACAAGCGTTATAGATTTTCCAAAACCTAAGGAAACATTTTGGGTCTCAAGTGAAGATTGATAATTTCGTATTAAGAAAAGGAAATTGTTGTTTTATCCATTATCAGTTAGATACAGGGATAGACCAGAATACTTTAAGTTCTACACCACTCAATATGCTTGCTATGGTGTGGGATCATGATTGTGTACAAGAAACTGGAGAAAACTTTTTAAGAAATATCAATGTGACCCACATTACACATGAAACATGAAGAGATAAACTGAGGAAAACACCAGAAAACAAAGATCAAGCAAGCGATGGCATAAAGAGAGCACAAACCGGCGCTATTTCTTCAAATTTGAGCCGCATTTCTTTGACTACTGAGCGAATTTGACCAAGAGAAATTGGTTAGAAGATACCTAACTCTACAAGATTTTGTGTATGTTCCCACAAATGATGGAAAATTGTATGAAAGTAAGGACATAATGGAATATGAAAAAAGAACTGGTAACTCTGTTATGAAGCCAGGAATACAAGTGAGACCTGACAAACCATACCTAGCATGTTCTCTCGCTGGACTCAAGGGAAATGTACTCGGCAGTGTTCCAGTTATTATATAATTATGATATACTTGCTGTGAAAACATTACATGAATACTGTTATCAGGTAATATGGAGTTTGCTTTACGTTGAACGCCTGTGGTGTGATTTAATAAGATGAGCATGTATTAAGAACAACAGATATAAAGCTTATTGAAGTCGTAGCGAGAACACTATAAAAGTTCAATTGAAAACTTCATACTTGCCCTGCTAGCCAAAACCTTCGACAGGTTTACAGGTGAAATTTGATGATAAAAATTGATGTGGGACATGTATCATTATTGGATGTAAATTCGTTGTGCTTTCTGATGCTTTGAAATATGTATCTGGCGTCTTGATAAACTGTTGTATGTCGTTGTCTATCTCACCAAGAAATATTATATGTACATGTGCTGACAGTGTTCTTTCATGCTAAACATATTTCTTAAATGAATAGCTAGAAGTTCTGTGCATTGTTATTCTTTTCCTTTTTAAAACCCGTTCAAAGTCATGAGACTGAAAAAAATATTGTACGAGAAAATATTACACTTTGTGATACTTTTAAACAGACATATGTGTTTATAAAGTAATAAATGTGATGTGTTCAGAAATTATTAAAAACCTTTAATTAAGTACATAAATACCTTTTAAAGAATTGAATGCCCCCAGTGGCACAGTGGTATGTATACGGACTTACAACGCTGGAAACCGGGTTTCGATACCCATGGTGGGCAGAGCACAGATAGCCTATTGTGTAGCTTTGTGCATAACTACAAACAAACAAGTTGGACAAATCTTTTGATACATTAATTCTTTTTATCGATATGCTGATTGACAATAAATATTTCATTTCGTTGTGAGTTTTATGTATTTTATTGTTGAATGTGTTGTGGAATCGTGTGACAGTTAAACTTAGGAAGTTTATTGTTGCTTGTTTTTCCTCTTCTGTTCAAAATTTTATGGTAGGGCGGATGAAATTAATATGTTTAACGATGTTGTTTTACTCAACTCCGTTATTAAAACTAAATAATACATCAGCAACGTATATCCACCGAATCATGGTGAGTAATAAGACTGTTTAAGGAATCATGAATCGAATTTTCTAGAAACATTGGTTTTGTTTAGTTGGCGGATTTGGCACAAAGTTACTAGCGAATTATCTGTCCCTAAGTTAGACATGATAGACCCAAAGTTAATCTTAATCGAATAATGAGATTGATTCTCCCGTTATAACACCCAGATGACTGAAAAAGCGATTATGTTCAGTTACAAGATTCGAACCCACGGTCCACAAATTGCCAGTCAAACGCCCTCACTACCACGCCATCTCAGACCATGGAACTGACGAAATTACTTTGAAACTACATAGATGATTTGGTGCCTTCATATGAATCTCTCACTATTGTTCCTGATTTGTTTATCAAATCTGACAACAGCCAAGAGAGATCTTTATCCAAGTTATAATTCGGTGATTTGTATGTAGAGATAATCGGTTTGATGTTTATCGGGTTTTCGTGTATTTTTAAACTGTTATAACATCCGTGCTTTTGAATGATATTATCTTTTCTTTACGTATTTTATTTGTCTTTGAGCATTTTTTGAAAGGAAATCATTACATCTTGTAATCACGTGTTTTGTTTAGGTGTTTGGTAAATTTTGTAAAATTTTCTTCATCATTTAGAGTATCAAAGATAATTATGTTGTAACCTATTTTGTTCTATCTATTATTACAGTTGTTTCGCCTTCACTTAATTTTCATATTAAGATATCTGTATGTTACTTTAATTCTTTCAGTGCAGAGATCTCTTGTTTTGTTGGGTTACTTTTAACTTTTTTATTGTTTGAGAGAATATAGTTTGTTTCTTTTCAAAAATATTCTTAAAATAATTTTAAAGGTTGTGAATCTGTATATGATAGAGAAAATGACACTAGAAGTCTTAACGACGCTTGTAATGATATTAGAAGTCATAATGACGTTTTTAATGACACTAGAAGTCTTAACGACGTTTGTAATGATATTAGAAGTCTTAATGACGTTTTAAATGACACTAGAAGTCTTAACGACGCTTGTAATGATATTAGAAGTCATAATGACGTTTTTAATGACACTAGAAGTCTTAACGACGTTTGTAATGATATTAGAAGTCTTAACGACGCTTGTAATGATATTAGAAGTCTTAATGACGTTTGTAATGATATTAGAAGTCTTAATGACGTTTGTAATGACACCAGAAGTCTTAACGACGTTTGTGATGATATTAGAATTTTTAACAATATTAGTGATGACATTAGTTTTCTTGAAGTTTGTAACCACAAAGTATTCTCTTGAGGAAAGTTTTATTTTTAATAGCCTGCTTAAGTTGAGCAAATTTTGTCTCATGACTTACTTGTATTTAACAGTTCCATGTCGTCTATAGGTGTGCATCACACTATATCTACCATATTTTTAATGAAGACTAAATAAATTAAATTCGAATGTCTGAAGAACAGATAAAATTCAACCAGGGAAGAGTATGTTTCCGAATAATTCTTTGCCAAAGCTTATATTATTTAATAAAAAGGATATTGTTCTTGTGAATTTTCCTGTGTTCTTTAAAGTTAACATTAAACGTTCATCAAAAAGAGTTTTTTATTATTTTATTAATTACATAACACTGATCTGTTATTTACAGTCACAAATAATTTTCAAATAAGACAGTTGAGAAAACATTTTTTCAGCCACTTCTGGTCCTGCTATTCTGTCCGTTACAATAACCTTCGTCAGAAGCTCGGGTAATCTGAAACAATAATAAAAATATCGACAAATTCGACGAATAAGTAAAATTCTATAATGCTCATATAATAAAATAACAAAGCTATACTTGCATTTAGTTTCATTTTATTAATTTACGTATAGAAGAATGTAGTCATTCTTACTAAAACATAATAATTCATTTTAATGATGTTTAAGATTTTCTACAAAGACAAGTCTATGAAAGCTGTGTTAGACGGTTTGTGTGCATGTTTCTTTATATACAAGAAAATATTCTTACAATGCTTAGTGCAGTAGTGCTTTTCCCAATCCCAGTCCTCCCAGACCATAGCCGTATCCCAGTCCGCTGAGACCATAGCCATATCCGACGCCTCCCACACCATAGCCGATTCCGATACCTCCCAATCCTAGTCCATAACCACCAACACCTCCCAGTCCTAGTCCATAGCCACCAACACCAAGACCCAAACCTACACCACCGTGGTTAATACGGGTAACGGAGGCAGCAGCTCGTCCTACGGGAATGCCTCGTGCAGCCAAACCCTGAGCAGCAGCAACAGCACCAGTTGCGTCAAAAGCGGCGATAGGAGCAACAGCAGCGCGAGCAACAGCAACAGGAGCAACAGCAGCAGGAGCAAAAGCAGCTCGACCAACAAGACCAGCGCCTAGCAGACCAGCATGGGTGTAGGCCAGGAGACCGAGAAAAACGATCTATACATAAAAGAATAAGAATCCTAAAATGTTATACTCACATTCATGTTATTTAGATAAATAATATAAAAAAATTAATTATTCATGTTTAGTTTGATTGACACTTGAGTTGAAGAAGGAAAACTGAAGTTGCAAAGAATTGTTTGAATGACTTCTTAAAAAAAACTTTAAATTTTAGCTTTCACGTCTCAACATCTTTTAACTAAATAGCTTAGAGTAATAATAAAGTAACACTTACAAGGAATTTCATGATTTCTACTGTTGTCTCCAGATCGCAGAGAAACTGTACTGTTTGCTAATTTTTCAGTCCTTTTATAGCGTCTTGTGACTGTAGAGAAACTTGTTTAGTTAGATGCCCTTCTTTTCCATAGTTCACCATTTGTATTGAAGGTGATCGACTTTTTTCGCTCCCTCATCTCGTACAGGTTGCTGTGAAAAACTGTCTCTTAACTTTCAATAACCTTTCGCTTACTAACATGAAGGTGAAATAGCAATGAATTGAACAAGCTTATGATTTTGTGTTTCATCAGACTACTAGAAAAATAGGTCACCTTTATTATCGGTTGTGTGTTGACTTAGTCTGTGGAACTGAAAGTTTTAGATCAAGGATGAATATCTATCTACCCAAGTATATACGTATATATATATGTATTTGTTTCTTAATACATGTGTAATAAAAATTAAACTAATTTTCTTCGATTGTGTCTTAAAATTGAACAGACAGAAAATAGCAGAAGCTATGATATTCTAAAACCTCGTTAGACAAATACTTAGAATTTTCTCTATGTTAATAATATTATATATTGTTAATTTATCTCTAAAGATAAAAAATCTTCATTAGAATTTTGATCATTTCCGAATCTTAAAAAAAATCAATCTAACGCCCCTATGAGAACTACTTGTAAATTTGTACGATAAATTTGAATCACATGAACACTGTTGAACTGTAATCAAGTAAAACCTGATGATGTTCTACTCACATTGGGCCGAAATGTTAATTAACTGTTAGAACATGTTCCTACTATAGAGCTAGTTATTATTCTACATTGATTCACCCAGCGGAATCCTCACGTTATAATAAATTTTATTTTTGAATCTGCTAATTGTATATTTTCAATTCCTGTACCTATCCTAAGCATACATTTAATATTCTTTTAAATTTGGTATTTCATATAATAATTTAAAGAATATTCAAATGTTATAATAAAACAGGTATTAGCTGACCAATCTATTACCAAACAATAGTAGTTAACAAGTATTGGGGATAGATATAATAAAATTCACCGAAGCATTTTATAAATTTGAATAATTTCAGTTTTTTTGTTATGGCTGGTTTTTTAATGATGTAAAACTTCGAGAACTGGTATTTGTATACAAAGAAAAACAGGAAAAAAAGAGAAATATAAGAATAGATAAATAGATAATGTCATTGATTGTGACGTCGTGATATAAGTTAAGATACAACAATTAAAAACAGCTCTGGCTTCACTGAATAAAAAAGAAACAAACATAGCTTAAGTTAGAAAATTGCTTATAGCTTATTGTACTTCACGCCATCATCACATACGGCAAATGTTCATTGCAATTGATTCTGTCAGGACTAACAAATCAAACAAGCATCTGTTTGGTAGCTTGTATTACCCATTCTGCCAAATCAACAGACTAGGTATGATAAAACGAAGTATCATCTTCACATCACATAGTGCTTTTTCCAAGTCAGATCTTTATCAACACATCAGCAATGGCCGAGCTGATATATCGACCATGACCCACTCGATGAAGTAGTTGATAATAATGATTATGTAATGATGGCCTCTTACAGTCTTTGTGAGTGGATCAGCAATAATCATGGTTATCATTTGCTAAAAGAGGCCCAATAATCCTCTGTTGGGATTTAACCTGCCTCAGTTGGTTCTTTCTCTAGGTGGCATATTGAATAGTAACACAAAGGCTAAAGAACCTTGCCACAGAGATCTGGGAACAACTAAAAGAAGCCCAGTCACAGAGTTACGACTCAGTAATTTGTAGCAATGATACACCACACCTTCCTGCACCTTTAATTGAGTATATTTATGCCACAGGTTATGTGAGTCTGTGCTATGCTCCCCTTGTTAAACACAGCATTCATTCATCAGTGGACTCGCTTACTTCATGGCTTGCTTGTGTTATGAAAAAACCCAACAATTATGGTTTCCACTCGCACACAGTGTGCAGGATCAAGACATTTCATGAGTGGACAAGATTTCAAGGTGTGGTAAAATAGTCTTCTAGTGTTGGAGTGCTACAGGCTCGAGTGATCCAAAGTCGTATTCTTTCAAAACTATTATCCAATATGCTATCATTCCTTCTGGATCTTAAAGTTCTTTAGTCACTTTAACAATTCATGGCCTACCTTGACGGTTAATGTCCTACCATACACGTAGTTAGTGTAGTGTTTTATAAAGATTACAACTGCAAGCAGTTCTTTCTTCATTTTACAGTGTCTATATTTGGGAGAAATGACTGTATGATTAGTGTATGCGAGTACACATTCTACTCAATCCTGTAACTGTGATACCACTGCTCTGATTCTGTTGTTGCTGGCATGGTGTCTAACAGGGACTTGCTGTCTTGTCATGGATGAGCTAGCACTTGAGCATCCCTTAAATTAATATATGGATAAACAAGTGCTCTATACTAGTTGTGGAAAGGTATAATTAATAACTGTTGAAGCTATGACATATTTACGTAAAGATAACTATTTCTCTTATATAATCAACGATATTTAGTATGTATGTGTGTGTGTAAGGAATATCATGATCCTGTAAAACCTCTTGTAAGTTAAGACATAAAGTAACTCTCGTGCCACTCCTTATCTGTGTTATCACTTTTAAAACTTTTTATTAAGAAGTAGAAACATTAACATGTTAAATAACAAAAATTTAAAAATATTTTAGAAATACAGGTTTAAGCAGAAAAACGACAGAACTAAAAAAGCACATTTTGGGCTGAATTTAATTAATTTTCAAATACTGTTCTTGTGGATTTTTGACAAGATTGACTTTATCGTCCATTATTTCGTACTTTTTCGCGTTTTGGCATCTTATATAAATTTGGCATTCACTGTTGGTGCATCTTGAAATGCCCCCCCACCCCCCCAGTGGCAGAGCGATATGTCTGCGGACTTAGAACGCTAGAAACCAGTTTTCAATACTCGTGGTTGGCAGAGCACGGATAGCCCATTGTGTAGCTTTGTGCGTAATTACAAACAAACAAACAAATTTTCTCCAATGCATTTTCTACAGATACATAAAAATCTGTGACAGATTTTAGAACATAACATCGACGTTAAGAATACATAGAGTTCACACTTGATAAATTTATTTGAAGTAACATTGTTTGAATTATATTAAATTCATTTTCGTAAAAACAAAATTGCCCTTGATATAAAAATAATCGCGACAAACCACTTGTGAAAACCAGTGTATTATTTGGTGTTGGTGTTTTAAAACGTATTGGTTTATGTGAACCCCTATATCAGAGACATGTTATTGCATACTATGGGTTGTAAATAAGTTGATTAAAAACAAATTATTAAAATTCCGTCCCGTTGTTATCTAGTTTAAGGCTAATAGAAGAAATGGAAACATGCAACGTACGTTAGCGCACGAAGCAGAACAATATGTCCTGTAAGAGGGTATACTCTATTCTTTCCCTACTATTCCGTTTAATTACAGTACATTTTACGATTTTAACATACACACACATACATATATATATATATACTTTTTATTGTGAAGAATAATTTACGTTGTTATCTAAGTATATGGATGTATGACTAAATAAATCTTCTAAAATGGTCGATCTAGTGAGATGTTACTGGGATTGCGACCGAAAATATTGCTAAAAGCTGAAGAAACAGTGTATACTAATCATTATAAGTATGAACGTAAGAACGACATACTTAATAGTCAGTTTTATTAATTTGTTGATGTTTAGTTCTGATCTACATTGGTAGTTTTATTTGAATAGAAATTAATATTAATTATAATTATATTAAACTTCGTGTTATACATTTTATAACTAGCTCCGAAAATTTAAGGGAGAATCCAAAAATGTTTTTATATTGTTTTTATTGCAACGTTATTTCGGTATAGCAATATATGTATATCTTGTTTATTCGTTTAGTTGGAAATAATTTCTAAAATTTCTCACTCTGTAACACGTGTTTTATTACGGAAATGTTATGTACATTACCGTATTTAAATAGCATTCTACTTTGTCTAAGACATGTTATAAAAAAAGTGGATTTCAATCAACAAACGTAACTGTGTAGGTTTGTTTTATATTTTTGTTTGTCAGTTTTTTCGTACAAAACTGCAAAAGAACTATGTGCGTATTATTTAACGCCCAGCCACTGTTTTTAAATTATATGGCGAAAAAAAAGTTAATTGTGATTAAAAGTTCACGTGCAATAGAAAAATATCAGGTACTTTACAGTTCATAGTGAATTTTGATGGCAGTTTTGATTGTGAGTTATTCTTGTAACTATATTATAACGCTGCTTAATAGCTTTGGAAAGATTGTTGTATATTCAGCAGAAAACTACAAGATATGCTATCTACGATCTTCCACTGACGGGAATCGATCTTAGAGTTGAAAGTCCGTAAAATCCGGTGGGTTCGATGCACTACTAAAAGTAACGATATAAAGTGAAATACTTTTTCATATTGAAATATAATTATATCTCGATATATCGACATCCTCCTTACAGTAATTTCTATGTCTGCTTTTCTTTTAAGAGAGACATCTTGTACAAGAGACACTCAAAAACTTCGTTCTTTTCGCCCTTGAGAAGAATTAAAATTACTTTAATTTTCTCACAAGTCATTTAATAAGTCAGAAATTCAATTTTATCTCAAAGTGTAAAATGAAGAACAAATCATCTGGTGACAATTTATTTGTTAGTATTTAAGCATAAAGCTACACAATGGGTTATTTGTGCTGTGCCCACCACGGGTATCAAAACCCGGCTTCTAGCGTTGTAAGTCTGCAGACATTACGTTGTGCCTCTGGGAGGCTGGCGAAAGAATGAAAGTATATAAAAACGTTTGCTTCCCTTTTTTTACGGTATTATGTAAAGTTTACATTAAAAAACACACAAGAGGGCTTAGTTTGACTGTTTTATTGATAACACAACTTTGATAGGAAATGTA